GGGATAGACTGATTTCCTAGTTTCTTTGTGAGCAAAGGCACAGAACTCTTTTATGAGACATTTCTATCGTGTTGCAGAGGAATTGAGAGGCACTATTACACTATTTTATGTTTCTCTTTGTTTTCTTTTCCTCTGTTTTTATGGAGGTCATGTAGAGGATCTCTTGTCCTCAGGATTGTATTTCTTCTTTCTCTGATTATCAACAATACTTCTTTTTTTCTTTTTATAAGAAAAATATTTAACCTTTTTTCTAGCATGCTTGATTGAGGTTAGGGGATTGTTCTCATATGCCTTTTGGGAAGAACTCCTTGGATTAACAATTCTCTGTTAGCTTCTTGCTTCCCTAGAGTTTATAGATTGTCAGTGATCACCATTTTCCCATTTCCTCATTTTTGGGTTGTTCAAATGACTCTCGCTCCTAGCTTTTGTCTTTTTTCAGAAATCCTACTGATCCAGACGCTCCAAACATGATCTTTTCAATTTGGCTTCTCATGTCTATTGTCTTCTCTAATTACTCCTAGTATAGAATCTGGTTTTTCGGATTCCTCGGGTTTATACTCCTGTAAGTTTTAGCAAGATTGTTTGATTCGTAATTATGCAACTCTGAATAATGTCCTAATAAGTTTTTTTTGGGGGAAGATTTCTGCTTTTAATGAAAAAGTCTCTTTTGGATTGCTCTTGATATCATTGGTCGGTCATGTTATTATTTTAGAAAGCTTACGAAATCTTTCACTGTGCTGATGTTTGGCGTATATGTCTTTATCATAAAGGTTTTCTAGATTCCTAGACTTCAGTTATATGTTTACTTCATCTCTATACACTGTTTTGATGGGATGTTGGAAGCTGGCGTCATGCTTTTTGTTTGTATCACTGTTGTTTTCTCTCAGGCAAGATGCCGCCTCTATCACCTGTAGTGAAGACACTTTTTAATCATATATCCGATGTCTTAAGCAATATTGCAAGCTTTCAGTCGGAATATGGGATTATTATTCGACATCTTGTGGCAGTCAGAGATTATCGGTTTCAAATGAGAAGGCGGATTTATTGCAGTGAGTTTTTTTGTTGTTTAATTCCCACATTCTTTTCTGGATTGCAAATGACAGTGCTAGTTTCTGTTTGCTCCCATATATTTTTATCTGTTTTGGAAGGCCTGGTGCTTCTCTACATGGAAAAGTTGGAGATTGGCTTTACAGAAAGAAATAGTTGTCAATATAGTCAGAAAGAGGAGGTCTTTCGCAATATTCTTACTCTTCATTCGCTACTAGAAAATCCTCCCGGAGACTTCCCAGATAGTCTTAGGGAGGATATGGTCAAAGGATTTTCTCGGATTTTCTCACATGTAAGGTATGTCATGATATGAAACTTTGCTTGTTGCCTGTTGGTTTACTGCGTTATGCTCGAATCCTTTGTTGAAACTGTAACATAGTAATGAAATAGTTCTTACTGCTTTCCCTTGCGGGCATTTTCAGAGATGAAGGCAAAATTTCACGTAAGCTCATCGAGAGTGTAAATATATTCTTGTTGAAGGATGGTCCGAATTTGGGATCTCAGTCTTTGGAGCTCCATAATGCTATGCAGCAATTTGTGTTGCAGTGTTGGCTGACAACCCATGACCGTGGTCTAAAGGTTCCAAGTATTTTTTTGATATACTAAATTATGTTTATGGGATGTATAAATTACATATTTTTATTTTTTTGGCAGGATGCACTTATATTTTATTCTAGGCTACAGCTGAATTTAACCAGAGGAGTTGCTGATGGAAGTGGGGTGGTAGAACAACTTCTGGACATAGTATGCAGGGAACTTGACCAGAGTAGTTCATCCAGCTCTGGTACATCATGGTAAGTTCTTTTCATCCTAAATCATTCTTTTCTGCTTTCTTCATTTTTTTTATGGTGAAGCACAGCGCTCTTTTGATGGATTGTCATGTTTTATTTAGGGCTGACACGAAGGATGATATGCTAGGAATGTTGAGCACTTCACAATTTGGTCTAGTGGAGCTCGCGGCATTTCTGTTTTATCGGGTATTTACTTCATGAAATCAATATCTAGCTGTCATGTTTCATTTTACAACTGATTTTTTTGTGTGGCTGGACTCACATCTATGGATTTATATTCATCAGCAAAATCTCTTAAAACTAGCAATGTTCTTGTTCTTATGTTTGGTGATTACAAGAATAGTATCACATGTAAAATTCTGATACCTATCTATGAATTCCTTCTAGAAAACTCTATTTCACGGGAAAGGTTATCCAATAATTGGGAAAATAAAAATGAGAAGTTTGTCATTTGTGAGGATTGTCAGAAGAACTTTGGGGTTTTTGTGTGTGCGTGTTGGGGGTCAGGTTGTATATGGGATGTTAGTACTTAGTCACATGTGTTCTTTTTTGGGAAGGCCTCAAAACGAGTAATAGATTACATAGAGTAATTCCACTTACAATACTATGCATTATATGGAAAGAAAAGAATTGTAGGATTTTTAAGGGTACAGATACAA